CCACGGGAACAGGAGTTATGAATTTCCGGTCAAACACACACACCGACACACACACACACACACACACCGACACACCAACAGACACACTTAGCGAATTATATAAAGTAGGATGAATGAACAGAATTAGTAAAAAATCAAAACTGATAGGGACAGAACGAGGTAGAATCATTTTGGATGGTTGGTTACGGTAACTTTCCACGTACACGATGATCACTTATGGCTCGATCTATTCGCAGAGGCGAGAGTGTGGACCGTTAGAACGCCATGCAGAGAAGCGATTAACTTTGCTGTTATGTTAATAACTTTGTCTGGCACAGAAAACTGTTACTTTATGTCTACTTTTTTTATGAATAATTGATTTTCCGTTTTGTGCATAACACTATCCCTTCGACCTCTGCGATGCTGGTTTTGGTTTCGGCAGGTTGGCGGACCTACTAAGACGGTATCCGGAGTTCTACATACATATGTCGTCCTGTATGAGCTTGCAGTGCCGGCGGCCACTGCCCTTCCGAGCCGAATTCCATCTCCTCTTCACGCAGATCCCTCTGTTGTTCCCCATCAGTTTAAAACTACTGCTTATCGGAGATTTGTTTGGGTTTCTTTTTGCCTTTCTGTTATTTTCTTTGATTTCAGATAAAAAAATCACAATCATAATCATGTCGGGGTAGTCTTGGGTAGCGGAATTTCTGCCCAAATCACTACAGCGGTGCGCATGCAAATTCTAACGCTGGCCTCTGTGTCGATCGTTCAGTGGCAGCAGTTTATTGAGTCAAAAGCGTGCTACAATCTTTCCGAGCACTTATATACGTAGATAAACATTACAGATGTTACAGATGTAATCACAGATGATCAACTAAGATCAGCACATGTGACGGGATAAGAACAAGAGGAATGTTACCGAATGAGTGTATGATGATACAATAAGCGGACGATAAGGGATGGGAAATAGAGAAGTCGTGGTTGACCACGACAGCCTCGCAGATTTAAACTGAAACCACCATTATCAACAATTTGGGCGGAAAAATGCAAACTTTTCACCTCTCAAACACTGAGGAGGCCTGTTGGAGTAATGCTTAAAAATTGAAAGAGAATTGGTAAGAAGTATGAGTCAAAACATAATGAATACTCTTCTCAGCTGACACCTCAATTATCACTGTCAACAGTTGAGTCATGTTTGTCTAAACATGATTGCATCCAAATGTGGCTTCTGTAATACAGTAACTGGCTGCAAGACGTATAATAGTAGGGTAGTAGGTACTAATCAGTCCGGGAGTCATGTTTGTCTAAACATGATTGCATCCAAATGTGGCTTCTGTAATACAGTAACTGGCTGCAAAACGTCTAATAGTAGGGTAGTAGGTACTAATCAGTCCGGCAACAACAAGACTGACGCATGCATACTGCAGAAGAATTCTTACTTGGAAACGTAAGGAGTGGGGTAGGTTGATGTCGGCTGCTGTAACAAATTATTGTCGTTGCTGTGAGATGTTTTTGTCCTTCTACAGGTTGGACCCCACTGTTACATATGTTTTTTGAATTGTCGTATTTGAACTTGTAGCTGTTTACAAACAATCTTCAAAAGGTACATAAAAAAGGAAATACTGGCATTTTAAAGCCTGCGCCATGCACATGACTTTAATCAAATAATTGAAAGGTCACTCAGGGCGTTTTGAACCTGCAAGAAGAATTGCGTGATCACCGTTGTCCGCCTCCCAAACTAATGATCGGTCAATTGACCAGCGTCAGAAGGGTAAGATCTATTTGTTTAAGCTCTTTTGAGTCAGAATTCCATTCTTGGTGAATTTTAAGTTCCCCTTCTGTTCATATGAAGCACAGATGTTGGTTGATAACTCGATCCTTTAAGGAATATTTACATTGAAACCAGGACTTTCGGCTTACTGTAATCCTATTCATGTTTACAGTTGTGATGTATTATCCAACAATGAAAGTGACACCGACCGTCTGCACCATAATTAAGAGATCGGATACATAAACATGAGCAAGTTGATTAAACCCTATTCAGATGGCAACTGTTATCTGGTCAGTTACATTCTGCTTTTCAGGAAGAAAAGAAACGCCCTGAGTTGTTGACCGTTTTTTGCTTCTTGTTGCCTTCATTTTTTCAGTAATCATTCACGAAACTCTGCTTTCTTTCTGGTTGATTCATTCAATCGTTTCAGAACAAAAGGAACATCACAGTGTGAGCCGGTCCTATGAATGATTTCCAAAATCACGATATTACCCTGTTATGATTTTATGTTCTTTGTCATATTCCGTTACCTTGTCTCGAATAGATGATAGAACTGATCACAGGCATTGTCTGGGCCAGATAAATTTGTGTATTCGCTAGAATACAGCTGTAGGGTAATGTTTCAAAGAAATGCTCTCCTTGAAAAACCTGTAGTCTTGGAAATGCAGTCCTTTAGCCATAGTTCGAGTATCGGGTAGTAGGCAAAAGTTAGATTTCAAATATTTATAATATTTGAGTTTGATTTGTAAATTTTTAGATTCACTTTACCATAAAACTTGCCAGTTTATACTTTGCTTTAGCTCCTTTCAGTTTTTCAATGAAGATCTGGATTCTTAATTGGTTGGTCTCGTTGCTACCACTTCACTGCCAAATCAATTCATACTTTTAAAGTCTTCTACAATAGTATTGTGATTGCTGATGCCTATAGCCGCTGTGTTTTAATCAGCAGTTCTTGATAAGCTGCCGACATTTGGGAGAGCTTATATTCAGGACTGATTGCGGACGTCGGCAAAGTAAAGTGGAAAACGGATTAATCAAGCTCATTCAGAGAAAAACCAATTGAAAAAAGGGATACCAGGTAGTGCTTCAAGATCCACCCCCCTAACCATCCCATAATTCGGGAAATTCTTGAAAGATAAGCCATCGGCACTATTGCTGAGTTACTCAACTTTCACCAGAATATACTTTTTAACCAGTTCTTTCCATTTAGCAAATCACTTGGATACGATGATCACATTGCATATTGACTGCTCGGCCTAAAACCTTCCCATGGGATGGATTAGCAAGACACGCGATAATCCAACTAATTAAGAATGTCCGGAGATCGTCAAGTTCAATCACTGATGTGCAGCTCGATTAGTTATAAAAGTTGGGTTATTACCTACATTACGCTCCCTAAATGATGAAAGTCTTCCGAAAAAACAAAACGCGGCCGGTGGTGCTCGTTTATACTTCCTTCTAACCTCAATCTTCAATCACAAAATAGCTTATTTTGTGATGGCTTGACAGGATGCCTTGGACTCGTTTACTACCGGGAAAGATTAGCAGTTTATTCCTTGCATCGTTTATAGTTGGGCAGATGTGGTATAGTGGCAAGTGGCGCACTATCACATCCGCATGATCAGTGGTTCGAATCCCGGATCGAAATCCGCCCAGGCCAACCTAGCCTTCGGTCCCGCCGGGTTCGGTCCATTGGTATCAGACTTGTCTGAAAGGATAAAAGAACAGAATTGAACATCAGCCTAAAAATGAATTATTTACCTTTTTCGAGCATTCCAACAAATGCAAGATGAGATCGTTTCTTACCCGAAATGAGTTTCAGAAGTTGGCTCACTCTCATCTACTACTCTGTTTTATGAATGTTTTTTTTTTCAGACTGAATGGTTAGTGGCATAAGTATTGCGGCTAATCTGAACGCTAGTGTGAGCGGAGTGTTGTCGTTATGCCTTCACTTATTCCTCATTATAACCATCATAAAATGCAGATCAACAATCTGCGGATATTATAAATGGATCATTATATCATCATCGATTTTCGACCTCTCATTCAGCGTTATGAATGCCTTTGCCTGCCCGGTAAGTGACAATTCAAGAGTAACTAAAAGCTGTAGGTGGCATGTCGAACGAACTCATGACGAATAGCACGGAAGTGCCGTTTCAAGCTTTCAAGTGCTTCATGCTTCGATCCGAGCGAAATTGTCAGTAAGCCTAGTTCGTCACCAAAAAGTGTTGTCATGGCATGAGTTGATCTCTGCTAGCAGCTTCAAGACCCTCAATCTTTTATTGGTTGAAGATGAAAAGGTTACTATCTACTTTAACCTGAGTAGAGGTGACAAACTGGGCGAGGTAGCGATTTCTAGTAGATGCCGCACTGACCGGCACCCTCCCCGGCACTTGATGTACGCATTTCGCTGTTTGCGTATCTTTTTNTTGTGTATTGTTGACTTATGATAGTTCAGACAGTAGCAGCAATCGGCAATATGTCTTCTGTCATGTTCATGAAAGGAGGTTTTCTTCTGCCAATTATCTATGGCCGAATCCTCCTGGTTATCTGGATCTTCCTTCTATGCACATCTATCATAGTATCACCATGCTTATTTATATTTCAATACTTACAAGTCTGCAGGTGATCTTTCACAAAAGCCTTCTAACCTTCGTTAAAATGCTGACATTCCAGCTATCTATACCCTGCTGCAATCTTTCAAATACCTTCTTGCTGCGGATTCAACCCTGGCAAACCTGCTCTCCTAAACTGTTTTGTGATTTATAGTGAAAGGGGGAGGGAAGTGAAAAGGAAGCGATGTGTGCATCATTTCCAGGAGGAAGTCATGCGTTAAGCAAGTAGGAAAACTAACGATATCGAGCAGAGCAGCTTCCAAGTTATATTAGAATGATTCGAAAATCATATTCAATTATGTTAGATTTGACTGATTGGGGGAGGGGTGATTTATGAACAAGTCGGAAGGCACCAGATATACATGGTGATGAGAATATTGTCTGAATCATCTCCAATGATTCTTAAAAAAACCTTACTTACACATTAGGATCACTGATTACATTCATCTTTGTACGCAGGGCCCAGTGGATGACGGTTTATGGTCGACGATCATTTCTTCTTTTTCTGACACCCATCGGTATTGCTTGGTCAGCCGCTTCAATGTTAATCATTTGTGCCTACCCAGATGCTCACGACCTTGCCTATTTCGACAATATTGCTCTTCACCTATACTTAAACGAACCTCGAGCGTATCTCGTCGCCTCTTTTCAGGTCAGTCTTAAAATAAGAAGTGTTTATCGACTTTTTTCCAGGGAATAATCCGACGCAAACACGAATAGATTGCGTAGACCCGTGGAGAGATTTCAGATTTGATCGGTATTCCACAGGCGTCAAGTAGTCTATAGAGATAACGAAATTCCAGAAAATTGTGTATATTGGGGAGCTAAGAGTCGATCTACCTTTGGCTTTTGTAGAAAACCCTCAATCCTATCATTCGAGTTTATGACTCGTAAAGATTT